CACCATTCAATGCAACATATGAGCAGCAGATATGAATCTCTCTTCCCAGGTGTAATTCAAATATAAATGTAATACATTTTAGACTATGCACTGCCTGAAAAGCACTTTCAGGCAAAGTGTCAGCCAGTTTGTAGTTAATTTTGCTTGGAGTTAATTTTCCTTCAGAGTACTTTGATTTTTAACAAATAAGATTTGGGAGAAAAAAAATTGCCCCCCCCCTCCCCTCCGCCCATTGCTTTTAAACATTTTTATGGAGCATTACATGCTACTGTGAATTAAAATAATGAGCGAGTAGCAGCTGGGTGCGAAATTTTAGACACCAAGTCAAAAATTTGGAGCATTGGCAATGAAAACTTGTGGCTAAATTGAGGTTTGAGTGAGCTTTAGAGGTGGTTTTGTTTGACAAGAAACCTGCTCTTCTCTATCCTCTGCTGATTCTCGACACTGGCTCAATGGAGGACAGTAATAATTTCAAAGGCAGTTTTTCCATTGGATTGTTTTTGGATTAAGCTAAGGAAAACTGCAGACTGAAGAGTGGCTTGCTCCAAGAATTCCTCTTTTCTCCTTTATGTTGGCGTTCTTCTAGGATTGGGTAAATAATCCATTTCCTACTGAAGCTTCAGTGGTTGTCAAACGTTTATTCTAACTTAAGACTCTTGACACTATTATGGGAAAATATTCCAGACTAAGTACACAACACTCCTGTTACTGTAAATGTTTCTTTAGGTGCCAGAACCTGAGCTTTCACACCTTTGTGTCATCTCCTTTGTGCAGATGAGAGTCCCCATAGGATGGTGAACGTGGGCAAAAAGAAACTGCCTCTTTCAGCTACAAAATTCTCCATCTGAGCAATGCATTTTGAGTTGAGTGCTGATGTGGTCCAACATTGCCTCATCCAAAGGCAGTGTTTTACGCTAATTTGGATAACTAGATAAATAGCATGATCCTCCAGATTAGTTTACCTCTTGGCTGTGTGGGAGGAACCTTAATGGCACTAATGGTCGCAGTGTTCACTTATAACACTACACTACACTTCCACTGCAACCTCCGCTTGGTGTGAGCCACCTCTTGATTCTGTTTAGTCATTAGGTTTGTGCAAGCAGATTCTTGCAGATGTGTATCTGGGCAGGAACTGATATGTATGCTCCTGCCCAAAAGTAACTCACTGCTTACATATGTTAATGTGCAACTCCACTCAAATGTGTTTTACTGAATCGTATGCAGCTGTGAAAGATAATAATAATAATAATCCTTGCATTTGATATAGCGCTTTTCACGTCGGGAGGACGTCCCAAAGCGCTTCACAGAAGACATTGTAAAGTGAATTGACTGTATATTTGTGGGTGAAAGATACTATAATAATAACATCAATTTGAAATGTATAAACATTGCATTTGAGTGTCAGCCTGGTTCAATTGTAACGCTCTCGCCTCTGAATCAGAAGGTTGTAGGTTCAAGCCCCAAGTGGGGACTTGGAACCCATGTAGTCTATGCTAGCACTGCAATGTAGTGCTGGTGGTGTGCTGCACCGTCAGAGGTGCCTCCTTTAAATGAGACGTTTTAACTGAGGTCCCATGTCTCCTGATGGTATGTTAAAAGATACCATGGCACCATTCAAAAAAAGAAGGGAATTTCTCCCTCTGTCCCCCAGAAAAAATTGGCTTCATGGCTGTTTGTGGGACATTGCTGTGTATAAATTATTTGGCGCATTCACCCAAAACCTATACAGTCACACCACTTTACATCCTGTGAAGCGCTTTGAGACATCCTCTGAACATAAGGTGCTATATCAAATGCAAAGATCATCATTAGGAAGCAATGAGTACTATTTTCATGAAGTAGTGTTTGACAAATTGTACCATTGTATCACGTCTGCCTAGCATCAATGCAAGAAAAGTGGGACGCACCTTTTTTGTTAACCCCACTATTCCCTGACACCACATCCTGACTCATTAGAGAACCAGGGGTTTATGAAACAATATTTCACAAAAGCTAATGAATACTGACCTTTTAATGCTAAAAATACTTTTAATATCTAATATCGTACCAAAATGTCTCAAAATATCAAAATGCTTCATACATTGAGTGACTCTTGAAGTATTATGCAGACGAAGGCAGCAGTTCATCTGTGCCACCAACATCCTATTAACACCAATGAATGATTGACCACTTTTATAAAAGTTTCTTTTATGAATTTGGATAAGGGAAGAATATTGGCTCAGACAATTTTTCAATTTTAGTGGCATGGAATCTTTAACACCCAACTGAAATGGCAAACAGAGCCTTGGTTTAACTTTTCATTCCAAGAGATGTCATCTGTAACAATGTAGTACTTGCTTAATACTGCACTGGAGCATCACTGCCAGTATATGAGGCTTAGACCTGCTGTGGGGTTCGAACTCTCAATTTCCTGACCCAATTACAAAGATTGCTCCCAGTGCACACAACAACAACAACAACAAGATTCCACTTATAGAGCGCCTTTCACGTCAGGAGGACGTCCCAAGGCGCTGCACAAGTACAATACTAACAGGAATGGCTAAATCAATGCTTCAATGGTGTTCCCTGAACCTCACTTATGAAGATGCAGTATTATCCTGTGACAGGAACGTTTCCTTTGTGATGGCACTACCATCTGGTATATTTACTTCAGGTAAAGATTTACTTAACATTGAGTAGGAATGCTCTACGTATTCTGATATTTTAAGATCCAGGGGATAAAATTTCTGCAGCTGCTTCTCGTAGTGTTCATGACAATATGTGTCCATTATGCGTTCTACAACTCACAGCCAGTCATTGAAGACATTGTGAAAGCCCAGATCTCTGGAGCAAATATACAGTTAAGGGGTTGGGCAAAAGCAAATACAACTTGTAAGTTAACTTGTTAGTTACATTTAGAGAATATTTTCCAAATAAAGTTAGCATCTGTGAAAGAAATACTCAATCATCCAAACAGTTTTAAAATGAATTAAGCACAAAAATGGATATAATGACACTCATAAATTATAATTTATTTAAACTATCAACTCATTAGATTATGTTTGCTGAAGGTGCACTGTTTAGCCGATGCAAAGGGCATTTCTTCAGAGCACAGTTATTAAGTAGAAATCCATTTTTAAAGTGTGACTCCAACTTATCTAAGATCTTTAAGGACACATTTGACATGCCCTCTGAAGACAGAAGGGAAGCCGTTTTTAGATCATTTTTCACATCTTTAGGGTTGCTTTTAAATTAACTGTGATTGAGGTCTTTCCAATATTTCACCACTTAGGGTTGATTAAATCTTCTTGATCTAGATATTTATGACTTTTTGGCATTTATTTTCCTTTGAGGCACAATTAAATTGAAGGTTTTGTTGCTAAGAATGTTGTAAGTGCTTTTTACAGTTGAATAATGTGTTTTGATGTGGCATATTAGTTTACTGCGGTAATATGTGTGTCTGTTGGATAAATAACAGGGAATATAGGTGTTTGACCTAGTATAGCTCAAAGTAAAAGATTATTTTGAACCTCAGGGCAGCTCTTGGCTTTTAATAATTCTTAGTTGACCATTGTGCCCTGCTTTCAAGTTAATGAACCTGGCATTCTAACCTCCCCATTCTTTGATCAGGGTGACAGCTGAGGAAGGTTAGAGGAAAGCTGAAGTCCGCCTCAGTGCTTAGTTCTAGCCATGAAATGGAATGATTTCTCATCCAGCAGAACAGCAATTGCAGTAAGATACAGGTGCAAACCATTAATAGCTACAGTCTTTGATAACAGGTAGCCAGAAGGCAAATGGCTGAACTGGTGGACTGAAAGGGAATATTTAAAAGAATGGTCAGAATCTGAAAATCTGCCTTGGAACAAAAGGGGAGTGTTTTTTTCATATCTGTCTTTCAAGCACTGATCAGTACCTATCCCTTTGCTATTGATGCATAATTATACAGTACAACAGTTTATTTATTACCTTTACATCAATGACTTAGATGAGGAAATAGAGCTTAATGTATCTAAATTCACAGATGATACAAAGCTAGGTGGGAAAGTAACCTGTGAGGAGGACACAAGGAGGATGCAAAGACAGGTTAAGTGAGTGGGCAAGAAGGTGGCGGGTGGAGCATAATGTGGGAAGTGGGAAGTTATTCACCTAGGTAGAAAAAATAGAAAAGTAGATTATTTTCTAGAGGGGAAGAGACTAGATATTGTTAGTATTCAGCGGGATTTAGGTGTCTTTGTACACCAATCACAGAAAGCCATTTTAAATTCCATTTCTAATGAGAGTTGACATTGCCTTTAATAATATGAGCTTTATTAGTCATTCTTACTACCTGTATGTTTTACCACTTGTGTCTCTGGATCAGAAGGTTGTGGGCTTAAGTCCAGTGTCGGAGACTTTGAATTTGTGATCCAGTGTTGGAGGCACATCTTTTGGATGAGACTTTAAACCGAGGTCCTGCCTGCCTATTCAGGTGGACGTAAAGATCCCATGACACGATTCAAAATGAGAAGGGGGTTTCTCTTGGTGTCGCCAGCAATGCTCCACTTAAATTGGTCATTCACCACCTGGCTGTTTGTGGGACATTGCAGTGAGCAAATTGGCAACCAAGTTCACCTACAAATACACAATCACTATCCTACAACTTCACAGAAACTGCTGAGAAGCACTTTGTGATGTTTTAAGCAACAAGGCACTGTATCAAATGCAAGAATTATATATGTCCTTGTTCATACTAACTGTATAGGACCTGAATAGTTACATCAGTGTAGCATCTGTACATTCACTTCATAAAATTTTACTGAGATGTGAATGTAGGGCTTAACACTGCTTTCTACTATGTGTTTATAGTCGTCCCTGTGAAACATAGCACACTGATTTTTATATCCCATGTTTCTTCTTAGAAAAGTGAAAGTAGGTGGTCGTCACCATTTTTCCTTTTGTGCTGTCCACACTTGGAAACTCTAGAATTCTAGAAATGTTGCTTATTTATCTCATAGACTCTCTTCCTGTGTTTTGTCCCTCAGAAAAACGTCCTGAGCTTGGGTGTCGAGAGCTTGTATTTCGGAACTTGTACAGACTTTTGCCAGCAATTAGCCGAGACATAACTGACTGGGTTGTGGGGACAAGAGTTAAAGCATCCCAGCTCCTGATTATTCTGTTGCTGCATGCTGAGGATCATATCACCCAGCACATGGAGTTGTTGCTCAGCACCTTATATCGGTCTTGTATGGATGAAGAGCCACTCATCGTTCAGAACGTACGTATCTGCCTTGTATCCTGTCTGAACTGTAATGCATCTATAGTTACAATGCTCTGAAAATGTTCATATTGATGTTGGAAATGCAGCGTTCAGAACAGCGACTTATATGTAGTAACTTAAAAGTGAACACTGCTGTGCGCAATTGGCTGCCGGGATTCGCTAACAAAATACACAGTCAATCCACTTTACAGTGTATCCTGTGCAACACTTTCAGATGTCTGAACGACCTGATATCAAATGCAAAGATTATTATGATTATTATAGCGCAGGAAATGACATCAGCAGTTGATAGCCCTGAAGCCTGCCTCATTTTCATGCTCCGTTATTATGCAGCATCTGAGATTTTTTTGTGTGTTATAATGGGACTGTCCTGTTTTAAACCAACATACCAAACTGATGCAGAAAAAAATTATAGTTTAGGTGAGTTCAGTCAGTCCTGAGCTAAGATGCTGCTGAAGATGGAGTGCTGCTTGGAAATGTAGATTCTTGCCAGGAAAATCTGACCACGATTGGCTCCTAAATGACAACCTTATCTTTTGAAATGTTTAAAAGATAGAATTCTTGTAAAGGTCATGGTGGGCTTGCATCCTATTGCCATGTTTTACTTTTACAGAGCATTACATCACTGTGTTTTCATTCCAATCAGCACTGAGCTAACCTGGTATTAGAATTTCTATAGTGTCTAGTTTCCTTTCTTATAAATAGTTCTTCAGCTCAGTGAAAGAGAAAGTGGAGAAAGGAAAAGATTTTGGGGGGAGTGGGAGGGAAGGGGAGTAATGGTACATGTTTAAAATTGCTAGCATAGGAACAGGTGTCGGCCATTCAGCCCATTAACAACAACAACAACTTGGATTTATATAGCACCCTACATGCCGGACAGTGTCTCAGAGCGCTTCACAGTAATGGATCTCTACTTTTCCTCCTTATCAATCATACTTTTACTTTCTGGGCTTTCTGGTTTTGTCAAATGTCTTCTTGCTTTAAAAAGATTGATGTAAAGATAATGTCCCAATTAAGATTAATATATAATAATAATCCTTGCATTTGATATTGCGCTTTTCAGGTATTCTAGACGTCTCAAAGCGCTTCACAGAATATACTGTAAAGTGAATTGACTGTATAGTTGTGGGCAAAATGCGGCAGCCAATTGCGCACCGCAGCGTCCCACAAACAGTCGTGGATTGAAGTGACCAATTTATTATTGGGGGGGTTTTCTTGAGGGTTTATTATCAGGCGCGTGGAGTAAGGAAACTTGTCGAAGGTCTCGACCTGCCGGGAATCGAACCTAGGTTGCTCTAACAACTGAACTACAGGACTCACAATGATAATAGAGATCTTACGTGCTCAGCAATTACTTTATGAAATTTGCAGTGCAGTGTTAGACATCTTCTGACCAGTTGTGGTTCCAGTTCATGGTTCAGTTTTGCTTCCTAACTTTGCCTCTGTAATTTTTGCCTTTCAGTCAGTCAAGTCGGCAGAGCTGATTGGAATCTTTGTAAACCCCGAGGTATTTCTGAAACTGATTCTTACGACGCTTGATAAATCAGCCTGCTCAGCTCACCTGATGGTTCTGTCTGCAGTCCTGAAAGGCAGCTCAGGACCAATTCTACACCCACATCTAATGAGAATTGGTACCACCTTGGCACTTCCTGATGTGTGTCAGGCATCTGAGAAGGTATATGTTAGCTTGTGCTTCATACCCTTGTATTATTTGTTTCACAAATTTACAATGTCATAGGAGGCTTCAACATGTGTAGTAAAGCATCTAGGTATGAAAGGATCATCCCCCAGCTCACTTCTCTTCTGCATTTGGATAATAATGATAGTTGTTTACTTAGCTTGACATCATAAACCTCTCCATGTCCTCTGGCACCATTCCCACCCCTTTAAAAACGCCATCATCACTCCTATCCTTAAAAAGCCCATCCCTGCCTGCTCTCAAACTACCGCCCCATCTCCAACCTCCTTTCCTTTCCAAGGTCCTGGAACAAGTCATTGCTTCGCTCCTTCCTATCCCGCCACCCCTCCAATCAGGCTTCCATGTCGCCCACAGCACAGAAACAGCTCTGATCATAGTGACAAATGACATTTTGTCCGTTAGCGACAAAATGCCTCCTCGTCCTCCTTGACCTCTCTGCTGCCTTCAATACCATTGACCACTCTATCCTCCTCCACCACCTCTTGTCCCGCTCTGCCTTCCCCCACCTCCGCAAGATTGCCTGGCTCCACCACTGTCTCACACCGCAGGCGTCGAGCCCTCATACATGCATTCATAACATCCAGGCTCAACTACGCAAACTCCCTGCTTGTCGGCCTCCCCAACTCCTCCCTCCATAAGCTCCAGATTATCAAGAACTCTGGAGCCCATGTCCTATCCCGTACCAGGCTCCGCGATCCTGTCACCCCAATCCTCGCCCGATTCCACTGGCTTCCCATCACACAGAGGATACAGTTCAAGATCCTGGTCCTCACTTTCAAAGCCGTCCATGGCCTTGCTCTTCTCCACCTCTGGGACCTGCTAACCCCTTAGCAACCTGCCCGCTCCCTCCACTCAGCGGACTCCAGCCCCCGCCTCACCTGCCCCACCAGTAGTGGGCGAGCCTTCTGCCTCTCTGCCCCCACCCGCAGTCCCTCAATGTCGCCGCCTCCTTTGCCTCCTTCAACATCCATCTCGAGACACTCCTGTTCAGTCTTCGACCATGCCTTCAGTCACCCTCCTTCTCCTCCTGCCTGTCACCCTCCCCAATCCTGATTCCCAGCTCAGGTCCAAAACATTGATTGTCCAGTGCCTTGGGACATCCTCCCGATGTGAAAAGCACTATACAAATGTAATTTTGTTGTTGTTGAATGGTTCAGATCCTACCTCTCACACTGACTCCACTTCATCTCCACAAATGGCTTCTCCTCTAGCCCCTGCACTGTTTCGTGCGGAGTTCCTCAGGGCTCTGTCCATGGTCCCCTCCTTTTCAATATCTATATGCTCCCTCTTGGTGACATCATCCATAGACATGGGGTCAATTTCCATATGTATGTGGATGACACCCAACTCTTATCTTTCTGCTTCCACCCTCAACTCCAAGACCACTGCTGTCCTGACAGAATGTCTGTCACATCAAGTCCTGGAGGGGAGCTAACTTTCTACAGTTGAACATCAACAAGACCAAGGCTGTCCTGATCGGATCCCATCAGTCCCTCCACACCTCAGACACTGACAACATCACCAAGCCAAAGATGTACACTCCACCTTACCAAAACCACTCCAGAACTTTGTCGTCTTGTTTGACCCTCAACTATCCTTTCTACCCCACATCCGTGCTATGACCCGCTCTGCCTTCTCCCACCTCTGCAACATTGCCCGGCTCCACCACCGTCTCATACAACAGGCCACCGAGACCCTCATACACACATTCATAACATCCAGGCTCGACTGCGCAAACTCCCTGCTTGTCATCCCCCAGAACTCGTCCCTCTATAGACTGCAGATCATCCAGAACTCTGCAGCCCATGACCTCTCCCGCACCAGGCTCCGTCACCCTATCACACCCATCCTCACCCGACTCCACTGGTTTCCCATCACGCAGAGGATACAGTTCAAGATCCTGGTTCTCACTTTCAAAGCCATCCATAGTCTTGTTCCTCCGTACCTCTGCGACCTCCTAAACCTGACCGCTCCCTCCGTGACAGGTGCTATACAAATGTAATTTTGTTGTTGTTGGCCGATTTTCAACGTTCAAATGACTCAAACTAAACATACAAGGTCCTAGCATTCTCTCTTCAGTCTCATTTGATGGTTGATAAACAGGTGTTAGGGGTTGGTTCACAGAACTGATTGAACTATTCTTTTTGAGCTATTTGAGCAACAAAGTTACCAAAAACATGAAATATCTGCATTTACAAATGTAGTGACTACACTTTACAATAAATCCTATGAAGCACTTTGAGATGTTTCAACAACATAAGAATAATAATAATCCTTGCATTTGATATAGCGCTTTTCACGTCTTCTAGATGTCCCAAAGCACTTCACAGAATAGACTGTTAAGTGAATTGACTGTATATTTGTGGGCGAACGCGGCAGCCAATTGCACACAGCAATGTCCCACAAACAGTCGTAGATTGAAAATGACCAATTTATTATTGTTTTTGTTTTTTGGACGGATTATTATTAGGCTCTGTGTGGAGTAAGGAAACTTGCCCAAGGTTACGCCCTGCCTGGAATTGAACTCAGGTCTCTCACTTGCAAAGCGAGTGCTCTAACCACTGAGCTTCAGGACTCCACAAGGAGGAGCTATATCAAATGCAAAGATCATTGTTATTTTATTTAATGATAGTGTTTATAGGTAAAAACAGTAGCCGATTTCTACGCAACAATGTCCCACAAATAGTCATGAGGTTTATGACCAAATTATGCAAGACATAGGAGAGCCTCCTTTTTAAATAAGGTTATGAGATCTTTGACGCCACTATTTTTTAAAAATGTAGCAGTGCTTTGGAGGTCTGTATCAACCTATTTTCATTGAATAATTTCAGCAAACCATTTATTCAATACGCTTTGCAAAAAAACTCTGAACTGCTTAACAGTGTTTTGGAGCAATATCAAATGCAAGTATTATTATTAAGTTCAAGATCCTCACCTTTAATTCCCTCCATGATCTTGCTCCACCCTCCGTGACTTCCTTAAACCCTACAAACCCAGTCATGCCCTCTGGTTAGCAGGCACCAGCTTGCTTCTCGTTTCCCCCGCTCCACCAGGGGCAGTAGGACTTCCAGCGTGTCTGGCCCCACCCTCTGGAACTTCATCCTGAAGTTCGTTTGACTTGCCCCTTCCCTTGTCTCCACATGAAGACCTTCCTCTTTGACCGTGCTTTTGGCCACCTTTTCCCCCTCCCCCCTTGCCACCTCCAGTTCTTCAAAACCCCCACCACCTCCAACTCAGGTGCAAATCCTAGACTGTCCAGAGCTTTGGGATGTCCTCCCAATATTATAAGGGCACTATATATATGTAAATTATTATAATGATAGTAATCTTTTAAAAGGAGGAAATTTGAAGCAATTTCTCAAAAATAATTTAATTTTATGATATTTGATCAAAGGAATCTCATAAAAATTTACTTCTGCTGATTTTAGCAGTCATATGGCTGGACAGTCAACGCCCAGTTTAAAACTTTTGGTCTTATGGTTGATTTGCTCTCAAATGGAAGAAATTGCAGAGTTTGAAAAGTTCAGTGAAAGATGTCTACTCCTGTGTTTCCTTGATATATTTATGACCCATATTTATATTTGGGGAGAAAGTGGTGAAATATTGGTGCATTTTTGCTTTAGATGTTAAATGGATGAGACAACTTGCGGGATGGAATGCAGTTGTGTCAAAACAAAATGTAGTTGTGTCAAAAAAAATGGAAGGTAGGAGGGATTGCATATTTTATTGCAAGTTCTCATTGTTAAATCATAGCGCTGACCTCAAAGCATTTGTTTCTGATATTTGAGGCATACACTTTCCCACGAGAGACAATTTTGGTTCAACCTGACCACATTTTTAAGGTCACAGTGTAGTGCGGATGTACTCAAAGCTACTATTTCTCTCTCTCTTCCAGCCATCACAAAGTTCTTGCTCATATCTAAATTGGTGATAAAAGGATCAAATCTCCAAGTCAGTCCTTGTTTTAAAATCAGCAATTAGTTAAATAACTGAAATTAGTGACACTGGGAGCATTCTGGTGCAAGTGCAGAACGTTGAATGTTAATGTAACTGAAAAACTTTTTATGGTTATCTTTCCCATCTCTTGCAATGTTCAGTTCAAAAATGTTCTTCGACATTCTGATACCTTTCTTCCAATCCTGGCATCTTTTGGTAATGCGTTTGTCTTTCCTCTGCGCCATTTTCCTTCATGTCCTTAAATGCCTTTTTTTCCCCTCTTTATGAGTTGCTTTGTCCAACTGGGCTTACCATATTTAACCTACACAGTGGTGAATGGCATCACTTCTGAAACTATTTTTGGTAAGAGGCAAAAAGGAGCATTGTCCACTGGCAATTTCATGCTGTCACGAGTTTGCACTGCATGTTTGATCCCAACTATCACCAAATATATAGTGTAAATGAAAGTTCATTGCACATGCACCGAACTCTCCTGCAAGATTTTGGATATGGAAAATTAAATCCTTCTTCAAATCACTTGGTGCAACAGCACATTGCTTCCAGACATATAAACCAGGCACTGTACCGCATTGCAGTCACCAGAACCTTTATGTCCTACTTTGTGTGGAGTACAATGTGGAGGTTAACAATTGAGACTGTAATTTGAGTATCGGAGCTAACAGGAGTAATGCTGGTATGATTTGTTATCTGTATATTTTAGCGACTTAAATAAACTACTCCTTTGAGCTACCAACTGAAATGTGAACCTTCAGACTTTTCGGAATTTGCCTCCCTTCATACGCCTGGGACCAATCTGCTCACACTTGAACTGATGCATGACTCCCATTAGAATGGGCTGTCCTGTAATTCATGTTAATTGCTGCATCACTTAGACTGAAGCTCTGGAGTGACCAACAGCAATTAGGTTAGCACAGCATTGGACTTGACATTATATTAAATGCGCATTTTGATTTTTTAAAAAAAACTTTTCCTCTCTTAAAATGGAACTTTAAAACTTATCACCTGTGAAATGTTGGTGTGACATCAACATGTTTACTTGGTAAACCATAGTCTTTAAACCAAGAGCCGAGAACAGGAAGCGCTGCAAAACTATTAGTGGCTGCTGGAGGCTATGTTTGGAAGAAGTTGTCATCACTTATTACTAACTAGGCACTAACATGGAATGGTAACTTAAGAAGTTGTTGAACACACTGTCGCTGCGATAGAATGGTACAGCAGTGAAACCCAGATAATGTTTTATTAACAAAGGATACTTTGTGGAATGTGGTTACGTTGTTCCTCCTTTCTGTCCATTCTGATCCATCCTGATTGATAGGCTGAAAGACCTCTCTGCCAGTTGCAAGGGTTGAATGGAACATTTATTCGGCACAGTCATAACTTGTTTCCTGCTAGTTTGTGGCCACTGAACAAAATTATCTGCAGTTCAGTACAAATTGGAAATACCACGCAGAGAAGATATATAGAAATATGCCCTAGGTGGGTACACTGGCGTGCAGAGAGCTGTAGGTTGTGATGATGGTGAACTGTTGGAGCAGGACAGCGGGAACTTTAGCTCTGTATTGGCCAGTGCTGCACGTAAAAAAGAATCCTTGATGGCAATTTGTCTTGGTCTGCTGTGTTTCTGACATGTGCAGAAACACATCACCAAGCTTAAGAGTATCCAAACAGAACTGAAAGTTCCACACATGCACTCCGTCTACACGTAGAAATTTCACCTCACAGTAAATCCTGTGAAATCCTTTAAGATGTCCTCCCGACATGAAAAGTACAACAATAAAACTCACATAAGTCGTATCAATTTAATATGATTTGCATGAAGACCAAGTTGCAGGCAAACGTGTATAACTTGTACAAAATCCGATTTAATCAATAATCTATACTGTGCATGCGTAATTCAATGCAGCCGGTAAGTGCGCAGACGGTGATGAGTCAAGACTACGTTACCCGTGATTCAATGCAGTCGTTTTCTTTTCATGTAAAGATTGGATGAAATGGTTGTAAGTTTGCATTAATACGTTAATAATGCCCTGAACTTTATTTCTCAAAGATGTTCTGTTGCTCTAATTCCTCTTTCATTCTATGTCCTTATTTACCATCTACCTCTTTCCACCATCCTTTTCCATAATAGCCTTCTTTATTATTGTTCACTAATGAATGTGCACAGTTTTCTTTCTATCGAATATTTTGTAGAGAATTGATCTGTCAATCAGTTACGTCCACTGAGCAGGGCCAAGTGTTAATTACATGTTCTCAGGGAGAATATACGATTGGTAAATCAACATATTAAGTGTCTCTTTCTCAGCAAAGCAATTTCAGTCCTTTCAAAAAGTGCTTCGTCTCTATAAGAAGGTGTCTTTCGCTATATTTTGCACATGGCAAGCTTAACTGAATGAAATCAGATCCTTCTTGAAATCTGTTGCATTAATGGCAACACTCCAATAAATGTTGTGAGGAAATAGATTTGTGGCTTTTGTCTAAACCAATTGACCATAGTTAAAGAAAGAATACTGTCATTACACAAAGCCTACAGTGCTTTAGTACATATTGAAGTGACATATAATGGATCTTGATCTTGCTGTTTGATTAACAATCAGCTTTAGAAAGCTGACAAAGAAATGTACGGAAACTGAAAGTTCTGGTTATGCAACGCAATCATGCAAGGGTGAAAAACAAAATCACGATCTGAAGATCATAAGAATGTAGAAAATTATATCTGTCAGCATTGGCTATTGCTGAAAGAATTACAGCAGGAAGTTCATGTATACGAAGTAGATGAAGACCTCTGGAAATGGATAGGTTTCAGTGTTCGATCAGAGATGCAGATTCCTTCCCATTTCCCCCAGTAGAGCTAAAGTAAAGAAACTGCATACATTTCCATTCATATGCATGGCAAATGGAAAACATTTCTGATGTTGCAAAGAAAAATGTCAAAGGCTTTTAATGTACCTTTGGGATCAAATTTAGCACAGATTTGTGATTTCCATCAGCACCTTATAAATCCCTGTGGGTTCTAAAGTTCCCTTTTCATGTACATTAATGAGGAATTGAGATGGAGTTTCTAATGAGGAAAGAAAATGATTGATCCATTTATTTTCTCTTTCTCTTCTGGGTTGACTGAAGCTGGAATATTTGGAACAAGAACTTCTCTGTGTGCAGACATTAATTACAGTATGTGGGAAGTCATGTAGTGAAATCAGTCTACAACTGCTGAAAGTGATGGTAACCATAACATCGGTAACATCTGACCAGGAGCTGAAAAACAAGGTATGACAAGCCACAGCTCTATGTATATCGGTTTGTTAAAGTTTATCTGTAATTTGGCTATTGATTTTTTTTAGAAATCTAACCATTTCAAAGCCAAAATGAAAGGGTTTGTTCCTCTCCAATTTACATTTTGTCCACATTCTAATTTGTAGCTTGCGTTCTATCCAGCAGTGGGGTTTGGCTTTTCTTGAACTTCAAGTGGTTTTGAGTGGAAAAAATGTTGACTAGATTGAATGGATCCCAAGATTCAGTGTCTTTAAACCTAATGAAGTCAACGTGAGGAACTTTGTGCTCTCAGATGGGATAATTTCAATATGTTTCTCGGGCATATCATGAATTTACTTGATCTGCCTGTTATCATGGCTCAAATCCCTGCAGTGTGACCCTTGATCACCTCTGTAGAAAATAGGCATAATGCTGCTCCTGGTATTGCAACATCAAAACAATTGATGTTTCATATTGATTTTAAATTCCTGCAGCAGTGAAACTTGCAGGATTTGCCAAACAATAGTAAATGTTATCTTGTCGAACAATAGTAAATGATGGTTGTGGGCAAGATGCTTGATTGGACTTCAGTCAGACACTTTGTGATGCATTTGAGTGCCGATGTACTGCATCTGTCTGCTACCCGCTGGTCACTGTGAGCCTTCTTCAACTTCATGGCATGAAAACTTTGAAAATGTACAGTTGCTGAATAATGGACATTGTTACATAACAGTATAATGATTGACCAAACCTATAGCGTATAATGCTAGTAAAATCAATCAGAACCTCCAGGCTCTTTGGCATCAAAGTGTCCTTTGATGCAGAAATCTCAAAATGATTGAATGTGATTCAATATGAGCTGAGTTCTGGTTGAGCTTAAACGATCAGGTGCTGGATCGCCTTTACCGTTTTCAGAATTCTGCCAATTTTTCTTTCTTGCAATGTTCACAAGAATTACTTACTTTGCGTAGGTTAGGTTTGCACTCAGTCATCTCGTTTCCCATTTCTAGCACTGATTTCTTTTAATTTAATGAGCACAAACGTTTTTTTTAAATTTGGCTATGTTGGCGTTCAAATTGAAATGTTGTTTTAAAAAATAGTTCAGTACAAATTTCAGTACAAATCAAACTTCAGCCATGTATTGGGTAATTTGTGAATGTTACCATTATGTTGGAGCTCTTTTAGGGTGTGTTGCAATGAAATTGTGTGCTGATTGCAGGTCGAGAAGACCTTAGCTTGCCTCGCTACGGTCCAGAATTTGGACAGCTTTCTGGATTTGTACAGACAACATATGAGTCAGCTAATAGGATGGGTTGCAGCCACAGAGCACCAGTGGACCACCTACTCAGTGGAACACCGACAATTTGAAACTCTAATCACTCAATCAGGTAAGGAAATTAGCTGGCAGTCAAATTTTAGATAGTAAATGACATGATGCCTTTTGGTCCTATTTGTTGGAAGACTAGGGTTGCACTTCTGAATGCAATAATAACCCTTGCAATCTTTATTGCACTTTATTAAGTCATGGAAACGTATTAAGGGGTTCACAGGAATTACTGTGAAGTATAGTGACCCCGTATAGGCAAACTCAGCAGACAACTTGCACACAGCAATGTCCCACAAACAGCCATGAAGTGAGTCACCAATCTTATCTGGAGGATTGTGTCACCAGGAGAAAACTCCTTCACCTTTTGAATAGTGCCTTGGGATCTTTAACATCTGCCTAAAGAGGCAGACAGGACTTAGATTTAACTTTTCATTAAACAGACGACACACAACCTCCAGATATGTTGCGGTATACCACTGTATTTTCAAAAGAATTGTTATCAAATGCGGCTGAAGGATAAACTTCCTTTAACTGAAGTATGCTTTCAATTGATTTACAACAACAAGATTTCATTTATAGAGCGCCTTTCATGTCGGGAGGACATCCCAAGGCGCTGGACAGTTGGGTCAGGACCCAAGCAGGGGGGGGTGGGGGGGGAAATGGTCAGGGTGATGGGAGGGAAGGGAGGGAGCGAGGAGGGGGTAGAGAGTCGAGAGGGGAGCTGAAGGTACGGTCAAAGAGAAAGGTCTTGAGACCGGCCTTGAAGGAGGAAAGGGAGGAAGCAAGGCGAAGGCACTGAGGGATGGAGTTTAATGCAGGATGATTGTTTGTATCGTTGCATCTTCATTTTTTTTCCCAATGGAACAGGCAAATGTTTAATTTTTCTTCACTTTAAGCAAAAAGGGATAAATTCCACTGTAGGAGAGAACAACAGAAATAGTGCACAAAATGATAATAACAATCAATACAAGTGTTTGTTTTGAAGAGCAGGTAATTGTTCTTTTGTGTATTTGGGAACATTTTGTTGCCATTAAGATGGTGTAGTTCTAAGAAGATGGGACACTTTTGCAGCCAATTTCGGCCCCAATGTCTTACTTATTGGGGTACAGATACAGAATAAAGCTCCACTACAATTGACTCTTTCCATGGCTGTTACTTCAGTAGTTTCTGTAAGAGATTACTAACTTTTGCCAAATTTAGTGGAATTCAAATGTTCCAAGACAGTACCCCTGTGAAGGCGGTATATAAATGGAAGTTTTTGTTGTTTAACTTACTGCAGTGACCAGCTAAAGCTTAGCAGAGACGAGCTAAATCTAAATCTAATCAAACTCCTTTCACACAGTTGAAAGAGGAGACTTTAATCCCAATAATCTGCACTGGACAAAACCAGCTCCACTAAGTCCCTTATGTACAACTAAAAGATATTTGCACTTTTAATATCTGTAATACTTGGGAAAGCAAATCTTAAATAAATCTACTACATTCCTTAGTACATTATACTTATGGAGGTTCATTTACTTTTTTAAGTTTTGTTTGGTGAAAATTTTAACTTTGAACTGCAGTCAAGTTGATTCAAAGCAATGTTATAATTTCCACAATTCGTGTCTCGCCACTGATTCAGGAGTTTAACCTCATAAAATATTTTCCAATCTGCATGAGTATCATCTTAGCCTCTTGGAGTGGCAACATTTTTTTAGGAGATAGTTTTAAAGACCAAATTGTGATGTGTCTCGAGACATCAAGCTCAATATCAAACTCATACTTTCCGTTGTAGTTAAGATGGTAACATTACTCATTGTTGTCAGACTTCCTTATTTTTCATCAAACTGCAAATGTTTGAGCAAATATTTGGCTTCTATCATGCTTGCTTCTGTGGTGTCTATGGTGCTTTCCGTCTTGTCTGCAACATAACCTCAAAAAAAACTATGCTTTTTTGTATAGTTTTTCTAAATAGCTCCCTCTAATATTTTCCACTTCATGAACGCACCTACACACACATACTCACGCACACACATGTTCACACTCTCATACAATGCACATTCTCTGTCACTTACACTCTCATTAGCTCACACAAATACACACACACACACACACATGTGCATGATTTTTCTCTTTCACATGCACATTCTCTATCACTTTCTCTTGGTTTCTCTCTCTCACACACACACACACACACACACACACACACACACACACACACATTAACAGGTTGATTTTGACATTATCTCTTTAGGAACAGAAATTGGTCACTCTGCCAGCCATACCTCTGCCCATATTTTATAAGATCCCTTTTCTCCACATCCTTCAATACCTCTCATGTATGTGTCTATCCTATTTAAACAGCCCAATGGATTTTCCATCTGCTTTCTGGGCAGAGAATTCTCACAATTCTTTGGGTGACCAAACATTTTTCTCCCTTATCTTTATCCTCTTTACTGTGCAGTCTCTGAACCTTAAAATGCTTTTACATTTCCTGCAGATATGAGGGTTTTTTCAGTTTTCGAAGGATGCATTTGAACAGATCCCAAGGCTTTTGACCTTCCCCCTTAAGGGCTATTCCATCATGAGGAAAATCATCTATCCTGCCTGAAAACCTTGCATGGTGCCCATTTTACCTGGTTAGAGATCAAAGTGGCACAATCTGGATCCTTTTATAAGCCACAAACTATCAGAAAGCCAAGTGTTAGCTTAAATCATGACGTAAATTTGGAATCGTTTTTTCTAATAAAATGGCCGCTTTGTTGAACTGCTGACTGAAGGGAAATTGTGTGGTGGGTTTTGCTTCTATTTATATAGATTGCACATCCATATGGCATGATGAATTGGTGGACCCCTATGTAGCAAAAGAGTGTATAAACGTATCTTAGTTGTAGATAATTTTCTACAAGTGGAACCCCTTAGATGTGCTGTGATATGAACTGTTCGGAAATAACTACTGCATTACCCTCAAATTAAAAATATAAACATTTTATTACGAACATGTGGAATAGCAGATGTTGCTCATTGAAATTGGTTGGACTGGAAGTGCTTGACTTCCACCAGATTTGTTACACAACATTTTTGAATGTAAGCATATCTTTTATTAAATGATGCTAAATGCTAAAATAATCACACTAATTCAACAAATGTGCTTTCAGGTGTGGATAAACGATTAGTGTCAGTTTGGCTCAGTTAGCAGTATTCTCCCTTCTGGGTCAGAAAGTTGTGCATTAGAGTTTATCTTATAATCTTACTTGATACCAAAGTTTGATACTCAGAGTACTGAATTGTCAGAGATGTCATCGATCAGCCGAGTCATTAAACAGAGATTCCATCTGCTTGAACCAGGTAGATGATAAAAATGTCATGGCACTGTTTCAAAGAACAGGGAGTCCTCCCGAGTATCCTGGCCGATATCCTTCCATCATTAATAAAATTAATTCATTTAAAAAAAAAGTTTGCCTGATGTGAGACATTGCTGGTGCAGATTAGCTGTGGTGTATGCTTAAATTACATCAATCCAAGTAATCAAGTATATGAAGTGCGTTGAGACCCTTCAACATATGAGAGATGGTATCAAATTAAAGTATTTTATTAATTACTTATCGATTAATAATGTAAAGCAAAGTTACTTTTTTCAAACGTTCATCGCTATGTGCCAGATATACCCTGTGGTCATTCAAGTTACAAGCTATGAAATAAAGATTGGAAAGTGAAGCTGTAATCTCCTGTCTTTAATAGGTCCTGTCCTAGGTGAATCCATTCATGAAGTTTTTCCTGTCTTGACGGCTTGCCTGCAGCCCAACCGAGATCCTGAAATGCGCTTGAAACTCTTCACTGTCTTATCCAAATTGTTGCTCAAATCCAATGAAACTCTGAACTCACAAGGGTAGGTGGAAAGTCATTATTAGCTTTAAGATCTGTAAATAGAGGAAGGAATTAAAGCGGTGCATTTGAAGTGGTTGGCAAAATTACCTACCTTGGTAGAGTATGCTTACTGTGATTAACTTAGAGAGCGGGGGAATGGGATTGAATTGGATAGCTCTTTTCAAAGAGCTGACACAGGCACGGTGGGCCGAATGGCCTCCTTCTGTGCTGCATAATTCTATGATTCTACGAAATGGTTGAAATCAAGTTGAGGCCAGAGGGCCATAATCTCTTTAAGAAGTGGGTGGTGGATGAAGTACTGTTCTTCAAGCTTGTGTTGAGCGTCATTCAAGCAGCAAAGGAGGCCATGGACAGAGAGGTCACAGTGGGAATGGGAAGGAGAATTAAAATGGCAAGCAACCAGAAGCTCAGGGTTGCACTTGTGGACAGAACAGAGGTGTTCGTCAAAGCAATCACCCAATCTGCGTTTGGTCTCCCCAATGTAGGGGAGCCTTTTTTTTGTACTATCAACACCTCTGATTTCATCATCTTCTGACCTCCACCTAAAAGTTTCCTTAATCTTTCTTTCCCCGCCCCCTTCTCTGCTTGTCCTTATAATCTGCTCCTTTCCAACAGCCCCCAGTTCTGTCGGAAAGTCATAGACTTGAAACGTTAACTAATTTTCCTCTCTCCATGGATGCTGCTTGACCAACTGAGTGTTCCCAGTGACTTCTGTGATACTAACAGGGATTGCGTGCACCTGACCTGAGATTTTGAGTTGGTGACCTTCCCATTGTGTCAGCTTCTTGATGTAGTGTTGAACAAGTAGGCCCAGCTGTAAAACACTTTCTGTACTGGGAATAGCTCTCAAGTAGGAATATTCAAGCCTTTTAATTATTTTGTGTGTGGTGGCCCTGGATCATTACTGCAACACATAAATGTTAGATTATGAGCTGCAGCTTCACTCAGCGGTTTAATTTTTGGTAAAGCGTTGCTGCTCCATTTTTTTCTCTTCTCTGTATGTACATAAAAAAAGTTTTTCAAAGGAACCAGTTGTGATGTGAGGTACAGCAAGTTTCCATGTGCTTACTCTTACATTTGATGATTCATTTTAAATGAATTTGGCCAAAGACATGAAGGAAGACTTACCCACACACTGCAGATTGTGGTTTATCATGTTGGAATGTTTTCCAGACCCATTTTTCATGGAATTTTACAGGTTTAGGATTCAAAGTTCAGCAGGTGCAAGGTTTCTTTGTCATGGCAAAAGCCCACACATTAGAATCCATTGCCACGAACCGTTGTGTGGGAGAACTGTCCAGACCATTTAGACTACCAGACACTGAGTGTTCATTATACTGTTTGTGTGTGGCCGCTTGTTCAGTTTTTTTCCCTCCATTGATTCATTTTCTCCTTCCTGTTTTGCTCCATTGGTTGCGCATAAAACATTTTTGCTTTTATCCCAACTGCAAAACTGTACAAAGCAAAATGAACACCGTGCTTTGATGTGACATTTTTACATATCAGTCATCTCACTTACCAATACAAATGGAGACAAAACTAGAGAGGGATCATTGATTGTGTAGACCACCTTGTAGAATTATTGTGTTCAGCAGTTCAGGTTCAGTTATTATGTAGATTGAAAGCAATATTTCCTTCTCGAAGTAATCCATCAATCTCAGCAAATGTCTACAAATGCCTTTAAAAGTGTTTCAAGAAATTACCTTTAATTCTGTTCTGATTTGTATAGCGCTTTAATCATCCATGGCCTCAACAATTATTTGCTGAGAACATTTCAAAAACAGTGTTAAGTGAGCTCCATCTACTGGACTGTGTGAGGTGTATCTTAGATTAAACCAGAACCCGTTTTAAATTGCTTTCAAACCCTACCTTTTCAATTTCGCAGAAAAATACATAGACTGGATCCTATATCCAGTCCTTGTAGAGTCCTGTAGCTCAGTGGTTAGAGCACTCGCCTCGCAAGCGAGAGACCTGGGTTTGATTCCTGGCAGGGCAAAAACTTGGGCAAGTTTCCTTACTCCACATGCCTGATAATAATGGCTCAAAAAAAAATAATAATAAATTGGTCACTTCAATTCACGACTGTTTGTGGGACACTGCTGTGCGCAATTGGCTGCCGCGTTTCGTTCACAAATATACTTTACAGTATATTGTGTGAAGCACTTTGAGATGTCTAGAAGACATGATGGTGCTATATCAAATGCAAGGATTATTATTATATAGTGGTCAATAATCGAGGATTGACAGAAACTTCTAGATATATCATCATCCAACATATTTCTATAGTACCTAAATGCCAGCCCCATTGTTGGTGAGCTTTTTATTGATCCACATTACATTTGTGCGGTCAGCTCGGTCAAGTCAGTTATACTTAGAATCTGGACAGAAGAAAAGGAGGTTGGGGGGGGATTCAGTGAGGGGAGCGACAAGCCAAGGTTCCCACTTCTGATTGCAATTCTCCCAAGCTATAAAGTGCATAGCATGCACTTTCGGTGAGGACATGTCAAGCCCAGCTGCAGGATACTTCTGTCCATTAAGTAGTCCATTGAGTGCTCCCTGTCTCAGCTCACACACAAAGGAGCATGTGACAGCTGGTGTATGTGGAGTCACATCTCAGCACAGCAGACTGAACACCTTCAGGAGAGGGAAGGAATTTTAAAAAAAATTAAATTTAAAAGTTTTTTTTTAAAAAACGGAACTCTGAGAATGAGAAAAAAAAGTTTAAATGTTACTGTTAGTGATCCCTCAATCCTGCTTCATGAGGAACCTACTGTGACTTTTCATTGAGAGCAAAAAATAGCACAGAATGAGAAAGGCCGTTCAATCCAAGGAGTTGCTTGATATGCCTTTTGAGGACAGGGAGAAATCTGAAATCTTTGGGTTGGCAAAATTTGCATCAGACCATTCCCCCAAGTAGGCAATATCCCAAAATAGGTAGGCAAGTAAAACACTAGCCGATTCTGCCGGGTGTCTTGCTCATTGGCCTTTTTTCAGACTTTGCCGAATTTGGGATTCAGTTAGCGATTTTCACTGTCAATTCAGCAAACTGAACTTTGCAATTAACACAATGATCTGGCTTGCAAATTTGGTAAGTTAGAGTCCATTAATTCATCAAGTCTGTTCCTTGCCCTGACCATGTACAACCAGCTCTGTCATCTTCTCAATCCAACCCGTTTCATCTTCTGAAAAGATACCTCAAATTTCTCCCCACCCGCAAGGGTAAATCAAGTGACTGCTGAAAACCCCCTCTAACCTTTCGTCCTGCATTATTCATCCATGACCTTTTGCCTTCCTCGGCTTGACATTTCCATGGTCTTAACAACTGAGGAATCATTATGTCCCACACAGCCTTCAATCATCTCTTTGGGCTTAGCCCTATAACCCTCAATTAGGTTCCTAACCAGATGTTCATCTCATCTACTTTCTTACAAAAAAATCCAGATCAGGGCATTGAAACCAGAGCAGGTTTGTTTGCCTCTTAAGTTGTAAAGTTAAATATAAAACACTACCTGATTCCCAGTAGAGCACCCTCTCTCTTTTTCATATTAGTTATTTCCCAAGTGTGAGAAGATCATAGATTGTGATGAGCTCTTACATGAACAGCATTGTAATCCGGAAGTAGGACAGTCTGCAGTCTGACCTTTGCTTATCCCCAAAAATATGATATCTTAGATAAGGCAGCAATAAAAGTACTGGGTTAGAGAGAGCAAAATTAGCAATGCTTGTTGCATTTCGTGAACAACTAAACTGTTTGTGTGCGTCTGACTGTAGGATCAGACTGAGCTATAATTTTCCTCTGTTCTCCCTCTCCTCCCCTGGGTAGAAGTTGAGCTTCTATTTCAAACTAATTGTGGAACAACATTAGCTAGTGCTGACTGCTAATTCTCGCACTGTATTTTCACATGAGAGAGAGGTGGAGACGGCTGATGGTGACATCAATAAATGTTGACTATTACATTCAGCAGCTTCATATGCTAATGCCCTGCAACAATAACAGTATTATTTTAAAATGAAGAGTTAACTGATGGGATTTTTATTTCAACAGAATTGCAGCTTGGGTAGAAATTCCACCTAGATCTGAATTTATCTGGCTTACTTAGCAAATCAGAGCGTTCAGAATTGGCAAATTCTTAAATATCGTCTTCATTTTGAAGCTTTCCTTACATCTGCACAAGTCTTCAATTGATTCAGGAAGTTATTTAAAAAATGCATTGTTTGCAATGTTCTTGAGACAATCCTTGGTGCATCATTATCTTAACATTTGCATTGTCTCTGCCTCTAGCTTGGGTGTCCTCCCAAAGCAAAAGGTACTGTATATGTAAATTGTATATGCATTGTATTGCCATTTTTTCCATTGCTGGGAATTGTAAAAATTAGGTTTAATTGCCATAAGGATTAGATCTAATTGTATTTAATGACTGTTTGCAATGAACTGTTGCAAACGATCTCATGTTGACCAATTGATAAGACGTATTGGGGGCAGGGCACCTGGGGGGAGAGACATGATTGTGAGGTGACTGCCGCTGTATTTCTGTATAACTGCACATTATATGGCTTGGATCCTTTGTGACTCACTGTCCAGCAAGTATTGTGTAAAATAGCTTCCTATTGTTGAAATTTCTGATTTTTATGACTAGTAAATGAATCTATTTTGCAAAAGTCCACAAAGTGAACGATCTATAAACCAATAGTTTTTGCAAGACTATAGACGATATGAAATTAGTTTCAATGAGTCTTTTGGGGGGATTTGTAATATGTTAATAATTAAATGAACAACTTCTACGTGCATTTTAATCATATGACTTTTTGTAGATTACTCTTGACCTGGGCCAATAGAAAAGTGCGCCCGCACTTTTTCCGCGGAATCCACCACAAACTTCCCTCTGCTACAAACCCGCTATAAATGTCCGAGAAAGGAGAAGGACGGGGCTAAACATGTAGTTTCTGGCCCGCGGGCCTCCCAGCTGTTTACCTGATGTCACTGTGGGCGGAGCAGCTCCAGGCACGCATGCTCTGTCCGTCACAAGTGGCAAATGGGCTTCAAGCAGAGTCACTGCTGTTGTGATTGTCTGTGTGTCTCTGTATGTTTGTGTGAGTGTGTGTGTGTCTCTCTATATGCATTTGTGAGTGTCTGTGTATGTGTGTGTGTCTCTCTCTGTGTTTGTGAGTGTCTGTGAGTATGTCTGTGTCTCCCTCTCCTCTGTGTGGGTGTGCCTGTGCGTGTCTCTCTCTATGTGTTTGTGAGTATCTCTCTCTGAGAATGTGTCTCTCTCTGTGTCTTGAGTGTGTGTGTCTCTCTCTGTATCTGAGCATGTGTCTCTCTCTCTGTGTCTGTGAGTGTGTGTGTCTCTCTGTGTGAATGTGTCTCTCTCTCTGAGTGTATGTGTGCGTCTCTCTGTGTGAGTGTGTACGTCTCTCTCTGTGTCTGTGAGTGTGTGTCTCTCGCTCTGTGTGTTGTCCTAGACCCTGAGAGCTTCTGTAGCTTCACTGGTGTTTCCCCCCGCCCCCAAAAAAAGCCACCCAGTCTTTGTTAAAGAAGCAATTAATGTTTTTTTTGCAACAATCTAATATGTGTTATTTCCTTATATTTAGTTTTTATCAATAAAGTGAAAAAATGTAGGTTGGCAGTAAAATGTATCTCAATAGCACCAACTCCCTTCCATTTTGCTGTAAAAATTCCCCTGCAATTTTCCGAAAAATTTACAAACCTCACCACAATCTTTAACAAATATTTCTGCACTTTTCTATTGGACCAGCTCTTGACCTTGCAGCATTTGTCAAAATGGATGTAGCGCACAGCAGGACACAACTCCGTGGTTGTACCTGCTGTTTTTCATATGGCAGTTGTACTGCGGTGGTGTTTTGTAACAAAGGTTCAATTGCGAATAAAAAGTTAGTTTACCCCACAAAATGCAAGCCATAATTAGATAAATAGACTATCATTCCAATTTGGATACACCAGTAAGATTAATTTCTCCCCTAGTGAGCAAAGCCAGTCATCAAATGTTCCCTACTTGCCTGTGACTTACTTTGTAATATCATTTGGCTGGAAACACACTGACCTTCCACCCACACAAATTTTAAATTAAAAAATTCCACCTCTACAGTTCTTCACTCCACCACAGCTTGCTTTGCTGTTCCCCTGCTAACTGCCATGTTTCCTTTGCTTTAGGCAGTTCAGTAACTACCTGGAGACGCTGGTGAAAGATATTTTGGTGCCTAATCTGCTGTGGCACGCTGGGAGGACGGCAGCTGCTGTCCGCACGATTGCTGTATCTTGCCTGTGGGCTCTGCTTCACAGCCAGATTCTCACACAGCAACAGGTAAATCCCAGATGGAAGATGGTTCAGAAATAAATGAGCAGCTCAAAACCAAGATTGTATCAGAACTAAAAAAAGAAAAAAAAATTGCCCTTGCAGTAAAGTTACCTTTGTATTGCTGAAGGTCTCGAAGAACTTGCTCAGATTCTCAGGTCCAGTACTGACATGAAATCCTATCAGGAAAGAATGGATGGTTTTCATATGACATGACCCCTCTCATTCCTTCAATCATTCCGATAGTTTTACTTTTTCTTCCTCTATTGAAAGCGCTGACTCGTGTTGGGCTATGAAACCAGATGCATCAGTACCTTACTCGGAACCATTTGGTTTTCGTGAGCATAGTCTAGTTAGGGAATGCCAACATGGTATTTAACACAGCAAAGCCTGATCCTGTTCTATTCCAGCACACATACACACACCCCAGCTGAGATCTGATAACTCAGTGCAGACCAGCCATTGAACTGGAAGTTTCCGGACCCAAATATTAACTACAGCCTCTGTATTTGCCAGGGAATCATTGGAGTATCCATTCAAGTACCTAATAAAAATGAGCAACGCAGATATAATTTTGATTCAAGTGGACGTAATGCCTTGTTGTTGCTATTTCAAGAGTCTTTTTTCCTTATTTATATTACCTCTTGATTCAAATTTTACCCCCCACCCCCCTTCCATCCTGATTTAAATGAATTGGCTGCTCTCCACATTTTTGCAGCATGATAGGTATAGAATTGCCAGGAAGGTATATTGGCCAAAAGACTGGATACTTCCCTGTTTGTATTTGAAATCATTCTCTGTGAACATCATTTGAATCACCAGATGCATCTAAAGAATACCACCTCCCCTATTGTGACGCTCAATCAGTATTGCACGAGAACGCCTACTGACATGATTAGTTAATGTCCTGGTGTGGGATGTGAACTTGTAACATTCTAACCCAGAGGCATACGAGCTGCTAACTGAGCCAACTTGATATTAAATGATTTGTGATGTTCCTGACCAAACACTTGGCACTGTATAATGAACAGTCTGGTTCATATTCCCAACTCACATTAGCAAAATTTGGTTCAATTCCTAGCAGACATTGTGGGCTCACTCTTAATGTAACAAAATCCATCTAATTCCATTAACTGTATAAATAACTATTTTATGTACGGATAGGGAACAGGCACAGTGATAATGGTAATGATGGTTTCTAATGCTTGAACTTTTACTTCAGACTTTTACAGTATATGAGGATCTGGTGCCAAAAGTGATTTCAGCTTTGGATGAAGACTCTAAAATTGCTCGAACATTGGCTTGTCGTATTCTCAGTACCGTTATGAAACTTTGTGGGAATCAGCTGAACCCTGACCAGCTCAATAAAATTTACCCAGGTAACTACAAATTAAGATGCTGAGTGAGAAACAGCTTGTCATCCACATAAGATTTTCTATATCTGGCTTTTTTCCTCAATTGGGATTTTATCAAGATTGATTTTTCCATAGATTTTTACTGAAATGTAAGCAAATAAATGTAATACTTTATCCATCTCATTACGCCTGAGTTACTTGTGAAAGTCGTTGGGCAGGAAAGTAGATAAATACCCCTGAGAGCTGCCACTGGAGCATCAGAGGTTGAGTGTGCGTGAGTAAGACTGGATCGTGTCGATTGAAGCGTAGCTGGAATCTCAAAACTTCAGGGATTGAAAACCCTTATTCAAGCAAATGAAGATTTAAAAGTTCAACTCCCTGAGGTCATTTTGACCAAAGGTGCCATTCTTTGAAACAATCAGATGTTTTAAAAAAACTGGTGATAGATTCTCTCTATTTTCTGTTCCCTCCTTCACCCGTTGGTACTACCTCATGCTGGTGTACAGTCCTGGCTAGTACATGCAGGTTACAAAGAGTCTTCACTTTTGTTCTATTTCGATTTTATATCTGTCTCTTTGGCTACGTTGTTTATTCCTTCTAGTTTAAATGGATCAATGTTGAATTTCTTGTTCTGTTGAAAGAACATTTTCTCACTAATGCAGGTTGTAACCATCACTGATGAGATTTGTGTCTCTTTGTTTCAAATTAGAACTTCTGAAGCGTATGGACGATGGTTTGGATGAAGTGCGGGTGGAAGCTGCCAAAGCTCTTGCCATTTGGTTTCACTGCACTGGAAATGATTATGACAGGATATTGTTCAGGAGCCACATTGAATTCCTGTATCGTGGGCTTTTGGTTCATATGGATGATCCAGAGAGGGACATTCAAACAACTGTCTTAGGTAACTGATGTTTTTCCTTCTCATTCTAACCAAATAATTATTAAGTGTGCTGTGCATAATGCATTTAAACCACAGTATTATAAAAGTGTAGCAGATTTTACCACTAGCAAAACATGTATTACAGATCACCCTATTATTATTAACTACCACACAGAGGACTCCAAATCTGAGAGGAGAAAGAATGCCACAAGTTTCTGTCTTCTTTCTAGTGATTCCTTTATGGAAGGAGTTAAAGTGCAATCGAAGCATCAGCTCAGGCTAACCTATTAGTTTATCTCTTCCTTTGTATATGAAACACCTCCTTTTTGATCTCTCCATCATTAAGTACTTGTATCTAAATTGTAAGCAAATAGGAGAGGTGACCAGCTGTTGAAGCCGAGTGATTTTTTTCAGCTCCAATGTAAAGGGTTGGTGAGGCAGCAATAAGCCTTTGGCACTGTACATTGGAGCACTTTCTCACAACCTGTGTGTTTCCTTCACTCTGACACCAGTTGTCTTTATCCATCTCATTACGCCTGAGTTGCTTGTGAATGTCGTTGTGGGGGAAGTAGATAAATACCCCTGAGACCACCAAGGAGCTGCCACTGGAGCATCAGAGGTTGAGTGTGCATGAGTAAGACTGGGTCTTATCGACTGAAGCGTAGCTGGAATCCAAAACTTCAGGCATTGAAAACCCTTATTCAAGCAAATGAAGATTTAAAAGTTCAACTCCCTGAGGTCATTTTGACCAAAGGCATCATTCTTTGAAACAATTAGATGTTTTAAAAAGCTGGTGATAGATTCTTTCTATCTTCTGCTCGCGCTCTCACCCCTTGGTACTGTCTCATGCTGGTGTACAGTCCTGGCAGCCTTCTAAGCACCTAACCCATGATCATTGCTGGTTTGTGAATATTGGAAGCTTGATCAGGCTTGCAAGATGTCAACACAATCCCTTTCAATCAGTGGTGAATACATATCAGTCCAAAGTGGGAATGCTGGCTAACTATTTTTCCTTCGTGGCTCAGGAGAGACCTAGTCAATTGTAGTGCCGTTGCCTCCAGCTTGACAGATCTGCAAACAGCACAGACTGCATAGGGTGATGCTGGGACCTCCTGAGTCTGTGCCTCAGTGCCATGTTTAGCAGATACATTTACACAGATCCATTGAGTCTCCCTCTTGAACGTACTACTCGCTAAGCACATTTGGGTCAGATGACACATTGTTTAGCTGTCCTGTTCTACGCATCCACTCTGTTCAGTGTCTGGTTGCTTTTTTCCTGGCCTCCTTTTATATTTATTCTTGCATTTGGACTTTTTCAGTTGGTCCCAACCAACTTTTACAGTGGAATTATTGTGTGTGTTCAGAGTAGAATTTGTGACTCACTCGTTTGTGGCATTCAGTTGTGCCCTCTGAGTCCCAGTCAGCTGTATATCCTATTTCTATACTCCTACCATTGATAACGGGCAGTGCTTTTTATTATAAGGGTGTATGCAGTGTATAAATTGGACTTTTCATCTCTTTAAAGCACTCCAGCAAGTTCACTCCATGAACCTCCAGCAATTCAGGCTGAGGCAGCACTTGCATGTGTCTGTTTTATACAAAATGCTTACTCTCCTCTGGTGCTTGGTATTGAATATTCACGGCTATTAGTGCTATTATTACTATGGCCCAAATGCTCTCACCACCTGCAGTGTCTTGTATCAGTTTTATGCATGTGCACCTCGACTCACCTCTGGTTGAAATATCCATGCAAAGCGTATTCCTTTTTAAATGTAATTAAGTGGGTGTTTATAAATATAATGCCTAACTTGGTTGCTTTAAACTCATAATTGTTCAGTGGTTTATATTTCATGAAATTTCACAGTCTTTATCCAAAGTCTTCCACTTCTGTCCGCCTACAAATACACTTTACAGTAAAATGCTTTGAAGTACTTTGAGATGTTTTGATGATGTGGTAAAGTGCTATATGAAATGCAAGGATTATTATTTTTATCATTAATAATAATGAACACTGCTACTTTCAAGAAACTTTTCCAGCATAAAGTCCTTGCTTTCGCAGTTAATAGTTGCAGCTCATTCAACTAAAACTCCAGGTGAATACAGCAGTGACTCCAATAAAAATATGAAAGATTTGTGTGAACTTTTTAATTTTTTTAACGTTGTTGCTTGACTTTGCCAAGTCTCACTTAAGCAAACTGTACCACAGTGTCTAAGCCAAAATGCCAGTAAGTGAACAACAGTGGCATTGACTGTAACCTCTGCTAGTAACTGGTTGTTCCACTTATTTTTTTAAAAATAAATTATTTTGAGTTTTTCACAGCTTTCATAAAGTAAATATGTCAAGTGCTTAAACTTTGACATTACTGCATGCTTTACCAAATCATCCTCTCTCTCTCTCTCTCTGATGTGCTTCGTGTCGTTTCTCACACACATTGCATCGTATCCTCACAAGCAGCTCAACAAGTAAGCTGCAGAGATCTGACACACAAATCTATCATTATCACTTCCTCTGAATTGTTGCACTCCATTCGTTTGTAAACACGTCATTTAAACCTTGAAGTTTTACCTAATGTTTTGTTTAACATAGCTGTTTTGTTTTACCTTTCTGACATTGCCAGGTAACATTTAAAAAGGTTTCAATCAACCAGCTTAGTTCTAATTCCATTTGCAACGACAGAAGCCATTGATTTATTTTTCCTTCCATTCCCTGAATGTTAGCCAGCCCCAGAGTTGCAGTGTTTGACTTGTTGCCAGCAGTGAGCATTGGCGATGTCAAGGAAATGGATAGTTTCTTTCTTCTCTCCTGTTTGTGGCTGATAGCCATGGGCATGCTCGAGCAAGGTTTCCATTGAATTTGAGTACCACTGGATCAGTGTTTCATGAGATCTGTAGTCAAAGCATTATCCTACATTATGCTTGTGGAAGCAGATGCAGGTTAACACCAGTCTTTATTATGGTTAGCGACAAGGAGCCAGTCAAAACTTTTATAGTGCTGCCAAGTGACCCAACATGAAAGGAAATTAACCACATTGAAAGATTTATGGATATTTGGATGTATTTTAAGGTACCCAGTGCTTTTGGAAAAAGAAACTCCCATTTAGGGCAGAACCTTCTAACAAAATATATGCACCACCTTCATAACTTCATTTTTTTAACAGTGGTTTGTTAATCCACCCATTTCCTTGACATCGCTCATTCTCTGTCTGAATTACCAGTATGGCTGTCGAGGTAGATTTTGTCAGTAAATTCAGGAGGAAATTAGATAGCTATTTGGGAAGAAATCAATCGAATGTGTAAGAGAGCGAAAAAGAAAGTCTTTTTTTTACTTTGGTACTGGTTAGATGGGCTGCTGTATTCCTACAAAATGTACAGTCAATTCACTTTACAGTATATTCTGTGAAGTGCTTTGAGACATCTTATTATTGTTAGTATTATTTATCCTCTCCACACACCAGCAAGTTGGCAACCTGAAAGTTCTGTTTCTTTTAGTTTTGATTACTGCAGCATTAAATGTACACGAGTGATATAAAATATCACTTTTATTCGGGGGATTTTATTGACAAATTTGTGCAGTTTATTGACATCGATAAAAGAATAAGGTATCAAAATGTTCTCACTGTTGAACTTTATTTTAAAACGTTGTTCATTCCGAGGACAATAAACTGTGCTTCCTTGATGAGAAATACTTTGATCATCCACATGGGGGCACTATATAGTGCAGTTTGCTGATGGCTAGTTCTGTGGTGAAGGTAAACATCCACCACTGATACCAGCCAACGGTTAGTTGAACAATTTGTCTCTAATTTGACACTGCAAAACACAAGTAAACCGTTTCCTTTGATAAATCTCAGCATCTGGTTTGCAAAAGCTGTCATTTCCCAAATTTTGATGAATTACATCGAGAGAGAATCTGTTGTCATTGCATTAATCTTTGAATTAGTTGTCAAAGCAATAAATTAGTTTCCAAGCCACGGGTTTGGATTGAGTTCTGAGTTTAGTTACTGTTACGTATTTCTGAACTGGCACTTTTTTGACTGAAAAGGTAATGCAATGCATCCCAGCGCCTATTCACATTACTTTTTTAAGCTATCTTCCCTCGTTCCAACAATTGTCTGCCAATGGGAAGCTTAGTCACATACAGAACGAGCCCTTACAATTGAATGAGATGTGTAAACTCTTGCTTGCAAGCATTTGTACTGCATGTTCACAGAAATTTGAGACATTATTAACCTCTATTTAGATGTTGTGGCCATAGGAAAAAATATGTTTTGAGATTGTATTTATTTCAATTTGTTATTATATTTGTAATTGCTACAGTCTTATTTTTATTTATGGACAAAATTAATTTGAAACGATCAGGAAAGGACTATTATTTTGCTGTTCAAGGAGTCGGCATGCTGTATTTTAGTGTGGATGCAGATGCCATCTAGTGGAAAAATGTATAATAGTGTTTATTTTTAGCCTTTTTGGACTTTTCATAAGGTGGACTGTTTACTGGTGTTTCATCTTAACAAAGAGAACCACTGAATAATTTGTACATAGAATAAATGTTACCTTTCCGCTTCCACGGTCATCTCTTTCAACATTTCTTCGATACTTTCAATATTAAGATACTCAAAAGCAGCTGAATTATTGCTTTCACGTTAAGTTTAACTCCAAAAAATATGCTTGCATTTTTAAACTAAGACGGTTATGAACAAAATTGGGCCTGGCTAGTATGTAGTTTTAAATGGAAAAAATTGACTTCCGTGAGTATCTTTGTAACCCGAAAACATTTGTCAACTGATGTCAGTGTGATGACATTACTGCAGCATAACACTTTTATTAAGGCTCATTTTAATCCAGATGTTCACAATATTGTAAGTGCAAATTAGTTGGCTGATTTCAATGTCATAGTAATGGCACATAAATAACTTTGTATGTACATATCAGGAAACAGTCCATTTTCCAGCACATGCTTGTAATTGAAGTAGTGCTGGGAAATGGCCTGTTTTTTGAGCTAGTAACCACATTTTGTATGTCAGGTATGGTTGGAGATGGTTGAAAATGTAATCTTCCTGCTAAATGTGCCTGTTTACACCAGGAGAACATTGACTGGTAAACACTCCTCACTGTTGTGCAATAAATGGAAAAGGAACATTTGCTCCCTACTCGGTGTGAAACTGAGCCTTGCAGATCCGGCAGATTCAGAGTCTTTTTGCTAATAGCTCTACCCAGGAGGGCTAATTCAGCCATGACAACCACTGCTCGCTGTTAACAAGTGATCCCTGCTGGAAAGGTCACATGTCTCTTGGCAACTGTTGAGAACAGGATTGGGCTTGGCCATGCCCCTCTATGGTTGAGTTAACTTGTCAACACTCACTGTGCGGGCACTTGGGTGAACACCAGCACGAGAGCAGGAATCACCGCCTTTAGGAGCAAAGGAGAAACCTTTGGAGGTGATGGAAAAAGATACATATATCTAATATACTAATAAAGACATATCACAACATCTTGGTCCCAGATCTGCCTGTTTTGTTGCAAGTTCTTTCCCCCCTTTTGTTCTGCACCTCTGTTCTCCTGCTGTGTTGCAATCCGCTCCTTTGTTCTGCATCATTGACACCTCTTTAACCCATCACAGTCTATTCTGTGAAGCGCTTTGAGACATCTAGAAGACGTGAAAAGCACTATATCAAATGCAAGGGTTATTATTATTATCATCCCCTGTCCTCTACCCCTTTTTCTCCTTTGTCTTCCTTGCCCTGCTGTCTTCCTTGCCCTGCCACCTCCCTCTCTGTTAGCCCTTAAAAGCCTCTCCCTCCCAACATGCCCCAGTTCTGATGAAGGGTTGTGGATCTGAAATGTTGACTCACTTTCCATACTCCATAGATGTTGCCTGACCCGCTGGGTGTTCCCAGCAACTTCTGCTTTTTTTAATTAAAACAAAGTGTCTGTCTGTGTGTCAGTGACACTCACGCAATAACCGATCGATGTAGAGTCATGATTTATACCTCATCAAAAAGGTCTTGCATCTGGCAGTGTCATGGCCATATTTATTTGGGGGAATCTCCTATCGTTGATGAGCTGTATTTAAATTGCTTTAATTAAGCCTTCAAATATGAAGTATGCATCGTAATCTGCAACTATATGGCAACAGGCGACAGCACACACCGTTCAGAGAAATGCATCTATATTCTACAACAAATGTTCGGTACTTTTTTTTGATTGTCATGGGAGCTAGAGTCCTCCCATGTGGGACAGAGAGAGAGACTGAGGAAGAACGTATTATAAAGTGTAGTGACTGTGTTTTGTGTGAGAAACAATGAAAGACTTGAGACAGAGAGACTGAGAGAGAAAATATATTAAAGGAATCCTCCCAAAAAGAGTCCTCCCCCAGGAGTCCTCCCAGCTGAGCATAGATAAAGATGAAATATCTACATTCCATATTGGATCCGTTAGTTGCAAGTGAAGCTGCAATGGGCACAGCTAGTGTATATATAAACATAAATATGTTACTTTTGAAAATATATTGAGAAATGTCTGATGTTGAATTATTTTTTTTGTCCTTTTTTACAACAGATGTCTCAAAGCAGGAAGCTTTATTTTCCCACAGGTGCTCATCCAAGAAATTGAGGCTGTGAAACACAAGCACCGCACTCCTCATTATTGCGAGCAGCTCCTCCAGCACATTTGGTCACTGAACAACAACACGAGCAAAGCCTGAAACAGCTGAAGATTCAACAAACCCCATTGAGACTGTGTAGTGTTCTAATGATGGATAACTCACACTTGAATGTAACAACAGAATATATTTTAATCTACAAACACCAAAATATCCATTGACTAGGCAGCACACCCAGTACTTTTCCCCCAATAAATGCCTTAAATGCTAAATGAAATATAGGGATAGTATAATTGTTTGGAGTTGGACGGTCATTCATGTTGAAAATCCATTGTTGATCAACCGGACGTTACTGAAGTTCTCTGAGCTGTTAAGAGCAGACATTAAGATGTCTTTGTGTGGCATGTTTGTTTTCATTTGTTAAATGCTTTTGGTAATTCTGTCCAGATCATCTTTGTCTCAGCAGGTTGAATCAGTTTTAAAATGTAGCTTTGCTTCTTAATTACAGCTCTTATGATTGACATTAGGCCTGAGAGTTGTGGGATTAGGTTTGATGAGATAACTTTTTGATGAGACAAAAAAATCCAAAGTTTATTTAACTGCTGTGTCTCCCAGTTTTTCGAAAGGTACTTCTGCAACCGTGCGTAAGATAACTTAAAATACTCTTTGACTACATTTTTACTTGCTCTCAATGTCTTGCATTTTTACAACAAATTTTTTAAAAATATTTTACACAGGCAACAATCACCGTTCTGTACATAGAATTATACAGTCCATCGTGTCTGTGCCGGCCCTTTGAAAGAGCTACCAATTCAATCCCACTCCCCATAGCCCTGCAAACTTGTCCTCCCCAAATAGTTATCTACCTCTCTTAAAAGCTGTTATCGAATCAGCTTCCATCACCATTTCAGGCAATGCATTCCAGATCCGAACAACTCACTTTGTTAAAAAAATTCTCACCTCCCCTGTTTTAACAACCATTTTAAATTTTCATAACTATTTTCATGTTAACTTTCCTGATAATTCCATGGTTCAAGTCACTATCTTGAACATTTTTTTATTTGTTATGTTTTTGCTGATACAGTATTGTTCATTTTGTGTGTACGAAATTTAATAAATTATTTGCTGTAACATTCATTCTTGAAATCATAATACTCATACAAGATTTTAACTTAGGGTAAATCTTTTCTTTGGACACAAATTTGTATTAAATGTAAAATGTATCGCTTTGCCTGATCGGTAGGGAAAAGGCACAAAGCCATATACATAGACCAGCTGGAGAGAAATTCCACTGGATGTAGCCTTGTGTTACTTGGTTAGCAGGTGCATACAGAATTAAAAATTTCATCTCAATTCTGAAAGTAGTTTTCTGCCCTGATTTTAAAATTAAGACGGATGTTAAGAATAAGTCAAACCCTGCAACTTTGTCNAAAAAAGGTTATTTTTATTTTTGGATCCAGGTGGAATTTCTCTCCCTCCACCCCCCCACCCCCACCCCGAGAGTTGCCGTCTAAATTTAAATTCCCACTGTGTTCTGTGTTAGTTCATCTCAACAAGGTAGCAGTTTTGTTATCAAAAGCTTTCTCGAGATAGAGAGAACAATTATCCAGGGTTACCACTCCAAAGTACGCCTCAGTACCGAATGCCCATTTTTTACATTGCCCTGTATAAACAAAGCAACTTATCCACTTGTTTTTCTTGTGATTAATATATTCATCTTCATTAAGGATCATTTTCCATTTTATAACTTCAATTTCAACACATACTTTCCCCAATAGAGGGAAAATGTTCAGCACCGTGGTGAATCTCAAACCCAGATCTACTCACTGATCACGCTTGACCATAAACCGAAAGAAAAATGCTAATAACAGTACCCGGGTTTGATTCCCGGGTGGGGCAAAACCTTAGGCAAGTTACCTTACTCCACACACGTGCTTCTGTTTACCTTGCAGTAAGTAGGAACCCAGTTGTTAGTCAATTGGCGGATCGCTTTACGATCAAGGGGTTATTAATAATCCCTTAAAAAAAGAATAATTTGGTCACTCAATCCATGGCTGTTTGTGGGAGGGACACTGCTGAGCGCAATTCTCTGCTGCATTTCGCCACAAAATATACAGTCAATTCACTTTAAAGTATATTCAGTGAAGCGCTTTGAGTGCTAAATCAAATGCAAAGATTATATTACACAATGCTTTTATAACAGTCCTTGCGTTTGATATAGCTTCTTATATCATCAGTCTCAAAAAACTTCACGATTTTACTATAAAGTCCACTGTCTGTTTGTAGGAGAACCCAGCAACTAATTTGCACACAGCATTATCCCACAAACGGCCGAGGAGCGAATTGTATCTGGGGGATTGACTATCAGGACTTGGAGAAACTCCCTTCCCTTTTTGAACTCCTGGTCTCCTCGATTTAACAACTCACCCTCTGGTGATGCGTCGCTTCTTAATCTGGCCTCTGCTGCAAATTACAAACTACAAAGGTAAAAAAAATTAGGCTGTCAAAGTAAAGATAATATTTCCTTTTATTTTTCCCAAAAGATAAATTTTAATAGCAAACCATCAAAGGACTTGTTAGTCGTCACAGTTCAGTTTTAGAGTGTTGAGTTTTGCTGCTGGTGACGTCAGTGCTGGAGTGAACCGGGTTCACCCGGCGGATTTTATTGGCGTTCCTTTGCAGTAGTTCTTCAATATCTAATCCTGTAAAAGTGGGGGATTCATTCTTCAAGCACATGGAGAACATGTAAAAAAGAGAAAAAAAATCTATGTAATGGAAAAAGTGAGATAATAGTCCACGCAATGTGATGTAGCATCTTATCACAATTGCCGAGACATCTCAAAACGCTTATAGGGTGTTTTGTAGGCAAACATGGCAGCCAGCTTGCACTCAACAACGTCCCACAAACTGCCATGAAGTGAATGACCAATTTCATCTGGGGGATATGGTCAGAACATTAGGAGAAACTCCCATTTGTTACAAATCTAAATTTACTACAGAACGCGACAAGATCTTCTCCAACGTTGCTTTGAATTACTGGTGCCCTGTGGAGTATTTCTGAAACAGTTCATTTTTTATTGCAAACTGTAAATAAAATCAATATTTTAATATACAGGTTATCGGGCATTACTGTTACGTGTTGGGCAAAATAAATCCTTGATTTTTTTTGTACTGCCATTCTATAAGCGATGCAGCCAACAGGTGCAGGAGTAACAAGGGTCATTCTCAACAGGATTTGTGAATCCTGCCAGGAAGAGGATGTATCTCACACCAAATGCTCTCCACATCTAGTTACCAGCAGGGTTCTGTATTTGATAGTAAATTTTGATAGTATATAATAAATTGTAATATATAATAAATTGTATTTGATAATATATAATAAATTGGTCATTTTCAATCCACGACTGTTTGTGGGACGCCGCTGTGCGCAATTGGCTGCCGCGTTTCGCCCACAAATATACGGTCAATTCACTCTACAGTCTATTCTGTGAAGCGTTTTGAGACGTTGAGAATGCAAGGATTATTATTATTATTTGAGATTCTGGTGGCAAATTCTGCATTTCAGCTGCAGTGCAGTTTGAACGATTACGTGTCGACATGCAAACGTGTACAACACGACAAGTGTGAAGTGCACAGAGCAGTTATTTTTGCTGTGCCTGCAATGGAGCCGCAAATGCTCTTGACTGACAGCGTTAACAGTGGCCACTGGATGCCGTTCTATCAGAGCAGCAGAATCTTTCCTACCTGGCTTTGCGTCTTTCTTGGCCCAATGCAAGGCAGCGAATGTGCACAACACAAACTGTGCAGCTGCTTTTTACCCTCTCTCAAGAATGTTTCAGCAATTGTATTTCCCTGAGAAGCTAAAATGAAAAAAAGAAATGAGCCATTCAACAGACCTTTAAAATTGTTGTGAAACACGTTGATTTAGGGGATGAGAACCTGAATCCGTTAATATACGGTACCTTAGCTTTATAAATTCTATTTAAAATTTTCATTTGCCACAAAATACAGTGATAACATTTTAAGGTATATCCTGTGAAGCACTTTGAAACATGCCCTCAACATGAAGGCCATATAAACTGTAACCATTTTTAAAAATTTTATTTACTGACATTTATACATTGAATTCCTAAATTTCTCTTCTATCCCCATCTTTACTACTTTTCCCACTCCCTTCCCTCCTGTCTGGTATAGTCTTTAATGCACTGTGACCGGAGTGATGTTAGATTATCAAATGCCTTGCTGCAAGCGGTTCTCAAACTTGAATAAGTAGCCTTTTAAACGGGAAGCGATCAAATGGTTAAGGAAAAATATTAAAGGGTAAAATATTAAAGGGAAAGAGCAATCAAATGGGTTCAGAGTGCAGAAATCTGGTGGAAAGAGCAGTCGGCAGCAAAGTCAGGATGGGCTAATTAGCCTCAGTCTGTCTCACAACCAGTCTATGATCGCATGGCGCATTTTTATGGCTGATGTGAAGGGTCACCACATGAGGAGGAAAAGCTGAACAACTTGCAGTATCAGCTTTCTGTCAATTGGTGTCCCCAGAGAATTAAACTCACCGTAAGTACCAATTTTTTTAGTTTTAAGTCACATTTGCTCTTTTCACACACAAGCACGGCAGACATTGATAGTAGCCAGGCACTAATTATTACGTTTTTTTCTCTGTTTATTACCAGCTTTAGGTGTCAGCCGGGCTCAATGGGTGGTACTTTGCCTGAATCCGGACTTTAAATTGACAAGGCGAGGCTGACATTCCAGTGCTGGGCGTGTGTGGCATTGTTGGAATTGCTGTTCTGCAGATAAGACATCAAACTGAGGTCGGGCCTGCCTTTTTAGATGGATGTTAAAGATCTCACGGAACGATTTGAGTTTCTCCCGGTGCCCTGGCCAACAATCTACAGATAAGAATCTTCGTTGACTTCAGGGCTGCGTGTGGGACATCTCTGTTCACAAATTGGCTTTACAGTATATCCTGTGAAGTGCTTTGAGACGTCCTCCAGAACATGAAAGGTGTTGTATTATTTATTTTCTCTCCTAGATTCTGAGACAGTGAATCTGTCCATAACCTGTTCCTGGATCTTTACCTTTGAGTGTATCTCTTGCCTAGTGGCAGAAGGCAAATCTGCGGCTTGAACTTCTACTTTTTTGGTTTGACGTCAGGTGCGTGAGCTGTTAAAATTGGATCACCTCACAGCTCATTGGTATCAGGCAGTGCAGCAGGTCCCATTTACCTGTTCAGGTGGACATTAAAGATACTGCAGTACTATTTGAAAAGAGAAGGTACCCTGATTAACAATTCCAAGATAAAATGGGATTTTTTTTCTTTACATTTTTCACCAGTGACAGCGGTGGAATAGAAATATACTGAATAGATCTAAAATCTTGCATTGTGGCAGAACTCCAAATCAAAAGGGTGGGGGGGGGGGTGAAATGCAGTCCTGATATCAAGAGATCTGAATAATCAACACCATTCCCCAGCCCCCTTGAAAATTTGGTTTATTCCACATGACCATCTGGTAAATATGAGAACAAAATGGTGTGACTGTTCTGACTGAAATGACCTTGGAATGACTTGAAGTCATGAGACATTCACTCAGACAATTTCCAGATTCTGAACAATCCACAAATCCCGAGGAGGAATACCTCGGTATGAAAGCAACCTTGACAGATTTTATGTAGCTGTCAGAAGAGTAATGAATCGGTTTCAACGTGGAAATGTTGCAGCTTAAGCCACACAGAGCAAAAAGGTCACAGCTCATTGATATCAGGCAGTGCAGCAGGTCCTGTTTACCTGTTCGGGTGGACATTAAAGATTGCAAAGCACCATTCGAAAAGAGAAGGGAGGTTCTTCTGTTGTCATGGCCAACAGTCCTCCTATCGAAATTTGTGAGACATTGTGTACAATTTGGCTGCTGAGTTTGCCTATAAATAAATGCACTGAACAGTAAAATCCTATGAAGCACTTTGAGTCCTCTCGATAACACGAGATGAACATGAGCACTGTATCGAATGCAAGGATTATTATTATATTAGTGCATATTGTTTCTGTTGTTGAGAAAGTTGTATTCTCCTGGTCCATAAATGTAGACACTTTGATGATGTGATGTGAGCTTATAACGCGAACTCAACAATAAC